GACGGGCGGGCGGGGGAGGGGGAATTAGTTGAATACCTAAGTAAATTCGTTTACGACGTGAATACTTCTTTTCCGATTTGATTTGCAGTTGTGCACTGGTCTTTTGCGAAGAACAATCAATATCTGTGCCCTCGATAAGTAATAGATTACTGCTCACCCATGCAAATAAATGGCCAAACCAATAGACCTCTTACCTGTAACTTTAACGACTTGTCGACAATCCACAATGCGAGATGTCTCATCTTTGGAGTTCTGATAAAGCTCAACTCGATCAAAAATAGGCCGCGAGCCCTCTCCTATAAAAATGAGACAAAAAAATAATATAAATATAAAATATGAAAGAAATTAATGTGTGATGAATGTAAGCTTTCAAATCTTGCCGCCGAAAGTTTCGAGACATGTTCATCGGTGGCTATTAAAAGTCTCAAAATTTCTGCAGAAATTTTATTTCATTCATTTTTTTTAAATCAGAAAAGAAGAACCAATGAACGTCGTAGTTTCATCACTTCAAGATTCGTATCACAATTTTAAAATGTTCCGTGAGGAAGGATCATATATATAAAATGAAAGATGACAGGATAGACCAAGAAAATGTATACACGCAAAAAAAAAGCGCACGGCGTCACTCCTATCCCGCGGTTGTCATTTTCCAGATGATCTGCTTGGAAATGTAACACGTTTAGGTTACCGAGTCACTCGATAAGGTAACTATGCTACGCGCATAGGTACCCATGCTACAATTGGATACAATTGGACGCACAGGATACACCTAGGTATGCGCTTAGCATCGTTACCTTACGAGTGACTCTGTAACCTAGGCGTGTAACATTGCCGAGCAGATCATCTGGAAAATGACAACCGTGGGAGGAGTGACGCCGTGCGCTTTTTTTTGCGTGTACCAACTCCCAACCCTTTGAAAAGTAAATATATTAAATAATTAAAAGAAGCCGTCTGAAAAATCTGTTCGTATGCTCTGCAACGATTTTAGCAAACAAGCAAGATTTTCTCGAAGATCAAATCAAAAGGTCCAGAACTTCTCAAATAAAAATAAAAAAAAAATTACAAACGTCAAGTAGTTCGAGCTACAGAGCTTTTGAATTCATAAAGAAAAAATTAAAGTAAATGAAAGCAGCACAGAAAAGAGAAGGAAGAAATACCAATAATACATAGGAGTGGAAAAATATTTCATAATAGAAAAATTTTTATAGTTTTTAAATGATCATTTATCCTACCCAAAGTCTATTCATGACCTGTAACTTACAAAAATAATTCATTAATGCACATATAAAGAACAAGGAAAATATAGTATATGCCGTAATATGTCTTTTTAATGTTTACTTTCTGACGAAGAAGCAATATAATGAGAAGTGCTCCTGAAACTTATACCACTAAAAGTTAAAGATGTAGTTACATGACATACTTGATTCATAGGACATGTCTGCATTATAATTTTCTCCATATAAAACTTTGAAAAAATGAAGTGATCCTATCAATTTTCAGGGTTTCTTTTAAATAGATCCATCTAAAATGAGAATCTAGGACTATAGTGTACCTATTTTTACGGTTGCTCCCTAAAAAATCAAGGGCACTGTGGAACATATCTGCAGACTGTGAATTATCAATTTAAAACACGATTGAAACATCAGCCCCGAAAAAAATAATGCGCGAGACATGTGTGCACATTTAAAAAATTTGAAATTTTGGGGATGCTGTGATATTTTTACGTACAATAGCAGTTCTTAACAAACGAACAAACAAACAAAAAAAAAAAAAGGCTAAGTTTTGCCTGTTGAAAATGTGTACTCTTCCCGTCGCTTACACAAAGGATCGCTTGTCTGTGAAAATACCCTCGCAATGGTATTTATGTTTCAAGAATGCATTGATGAGAAGGAAAAAGTCGGTAGTGTTGCATTTGATACCGATAAAACTGACCAACAAAGCAACCACAGCTGCTACGTTCGTCGACGATGAAGAGCACAGAAAGCGCCTTCGCTGGATGCCTATACCTACGATGTAAATGCTGTGATACAACTATTCGTACTCATTGACTGCCAATTTTGCCTACGCGCTCATTTGAAGGCGCGCTGCATTTCACTTGGCTCAACGCAAAGTACAGTATCACATTTGAGTCATGCTGCAGAGTGCGGCAACGCTTGCGCCTCGATGAATCGCCTGAAGTTGCGAACAAGACGCTGCAAGTCGATAATATAGCTACCTAACCACCTTTCTCGGTTTGCGACGTTGCAAATTTCCTGCCGTATTAAAATTTTCTGGAGGAAAACTGATCATCGTTTTTGGACAGAATTGTTTTGCCACTCCTCTTTAGCCTTTCAAAATTGCTCTCTTACAGTCCCTCGTCAAAATGTCCGATCATTTCTTTTAGAAAAAAAAAAATTAAAAAAGAGCGGAAATTATGAAACACCGCAACATACATTCACTTTAAAAAAATCATTTTTATTGTTAATGATAATAAGTGTATATACAAAGGGGGGTCTGATGGATATCATTTGATGTAGTTTGCTTATTCCTTTTTTTCTCTCCCCCCTTTTTTGGTAGCTAATCGTTTATTTCAACCATCGCAGCAACACTGCTATATACATAAAAATTAAATTCAAGAAATAATCTTTTACTACAAACTCTTAAAATAGATACGTAGATAAATACTGTCATAGGAACTTGACCATTAATTTTGTTACCTAATTTGCACGAAAAAGTGTGTTTTGACACAATTATTAAAACAGCGAATTACATCATGGACTCAGATGCAAAATTATTGAACTAGAGATTTGACAAATGGCTCATACTTACAGTTTTATAAAACTGGGAATTCTTGTCAGTTTCACTTTTCAGAAGTTTTTTATGCACGTGGAATTCTTCTTTGCGCATCTCTCAAGTCTGGGCAATCGTTGGATTTGCTAGTTTTCAGCCTTTTCTGCAGCTCGTTTCACTTTCTAAGCTTTTTCGGCCTCTTTTTTGTAACAGTTTTGTGTTATCAACTATAGTTTTACAACAGACGGTCCACCTGACAAAATAAAAGAAAAATAATATACATCCTAATTATTTTAGAAAAGAGACGTCTCTTACCTCTCAACCTCAAGGATGAGATTCAAATTTTTCGTATTTGTTGGAGTAAAATTTATAAAATAGTAAAAGATATTATTATAATTATCTTATCATCAGAAGACATGGAGTAATTCCAGCGAGTAAGGATCGAAAAGGTTGAAAGACCGTTGCTGAGATGGGTGTTTCCGCCAATTCTGCCGTGCCAAGGAAGAACGCCGTATGAACATTCGAGAGTTGCCAAATTTCCCTTGTTAAAAAATGTATTTTTGACGATATTTATGCACATATTTCTTTTAAATTTTCTGATATTCTAGATTAAATTGCGAACTAAATAGTGTGAAAATTTTGGAAAAAAATATTCACAATTTTCCCAAAGAATTCGATTTTTATCGGAAGAAACTTGGCAACGTCCAAAGGTTCATACGGCGTTTTTCCTTAGCACGGGAGAATTCGGCCATGCACGCGTCCACCTCCAAGACGGGTCTTTTTGTTACGACATTTTATTGTGCTGTCACGGTCATGTTAAAACTGCTCTTGAAACCACCTCTGCTTTTTCTCGTGATCCACCGAACAATACCCCTGTCCTCCTAGGAAAATTGTCGCTGACTTGAGGGCGCGCTAGCGAGAAAAGCTGCTACACCTCATCCCCCCTCCCCTTCGTTCGATCCACGTTACCTATTCAACCGTCCCGAATCCTTGCGTAGGAGAATAAGGGATCGGATGCGAAAAAGCAGTCTGAAACTGGCGATGAAAAGGCCCGCTCGTTGTAATTCTGCGAGATCTGGAGCCCTCTAAGAATCGCACATGTTCCACAACTTCACTCATCTTCCCGGCTCAACTCTCATAATGGGGAAGCTCTTTCGCAAGTCGCTCAACTCAGCGGCCGGCCGTATTTGCAGTTTGACCCACGTAGCAGTAACGGCGCCCGGGCCCTAACTTTCCTCCCATCGGATACTTACCCCTCCTTCTCAATCATACTACCGCGCTGGAAAGTTTTCTCTCGGGTTTTCCGTCCTGAAAGTTCCTATTCAAACATCGACATGTTAGAGTGCCCCGCCTTTTTGCGAATATTTTTCAATGTGCAGGAAAGGTGTGCATCTGGATCGGAAGTGCGGACTAAATGGACGTATTTCTATGGAACGGAACTATGTGCATTAAAGCATGAGCCTTGAGACCCATAAAAATATCTGCATAACAGGGCTCACGTCATAATGCACATAGTTCCGTTTGATAGAAATACGTCCAAATATAGTTCGAATGTATACATTAGTTCGCTGCGGCCGGCGATCGCCGAGCGGTAGCTATTAGAGCACCTGTATTTGGGAGAGAATTGCATTGCCATCTCAATCCTTTTACTATAAGAAAAAGTGTGCTCTGATTGGTTGGCTATCATGGAGCCCCAAAGTTGGCCCAATGTAAACAAACCCCAGCCCCTCCCCTCCTAGTTTGGCCCAATGTTTGCCTCTGAATGTAAACAATGTAAACAAGATGGCGACTAAGTTCTGGACGTGATTCTGGATGTGATAGAAATTTTTTTACATCCAACTTCTGAATTGAGTTCGGATCGAACTTTGACGAATATTTTTGCCGAAAATTAAGCATGGAGTGTGATTATCATTCATTTCTCAGCCGATAACACGTGTTCCTTCAGGTCGGATTTATTTGCATTGGGACAACTTTGGAGTTCCATGAAAGCCTAAAACTGATGAGCCAATCAGAGAGCGGCGCAGAGATGGCAATACTCTCCCGTATATAAGTACTCCAATAGCTATTTCTGAAGAGCTGTTGCATGGAATTTTAGCTTGCGTTCAGGTTACGTTGATTATCGGCAGTGCCATTCAATATCGGGAGGGAAAATTCATTTTTACAATTTTATCTGTTTTCTGACCGATCATCATCTCCTTGTTCTTTTCGGAAACGAGTCCAAATAAAAACGGAGATTTGATTCTGTGATGTAGCGTGAGCGCAGCATATTTTTTTAGACATTTGTTAATTTCATTCAGTCAGCACATTGCGATATACTTTAAAATTGAATGCGAGAAATCGTTCTTTTCAAACTCTTAAAATGCAATACAGCAAAATGTGCATTGTTCCTTGCAATGGGAACTCGAATTTCCAGCTAAGCAGGAAGTTTTTCTTTTCACGTGTATCACCCTGGTAAAAATTGGCAGTAGAATCAGTGTTCCAAAATACCATAGACCGAAAGCCGGCTGTATGATTTCCAATAGCTTCTGGTCCGGTTGTACAATTTCTTATAGCCTTTTATAGTCGATGGCGATTAAGCAACAGCAAGACGATAAAGTTTATGCTAAACGTTACTAAATACGGATAATAGGACTCAGTGAGTTTTTGGACTACCGCTCTCTTTTTGCGCCGTAGTATCTTAATTTATTTTGCAAGGAAAGCTCCGTACTTTTGAAGGTTGCCTGTCATTCTTAATTTAGACTTTGTCCGGAGGTGGCTACCGCCACCCATGATATGTTGGAGCGCCTTCAATTTCTTACGATACTGTGCAATACCTCTGGTGTGAAATAGTTGCTTCAGACGCCGTGGCACGCTGCGGCGCGGCGGGCGAGCAGAGAGCGTGAAACGCGCATCGGCGCCTACAAACCTAACAGGGATACTTCACGCATTGCGCAATGCGTGAAGTATTCCTGTCAGGTTTGTAGGCGCCAGTGCGTCGCCGCTCCGCTTTGTGTTAGGCTCTAATATTTAATCTCGCGGAGTCAGCGTTTTTCAACTCATGATTTTGAAATGTTTGCACACTCTGTATGGACTATTCTCATTTTAATTGATGAAAAAAAAATAGGTTTTAAAGGAAAATATAATGTGTGTTTTGTAAATATTAAGGTAGTTCCGTATCAAACTTAATGATTTCCAAAGCACACGAATTTCTACACAACTTATAGCCTTGAATGACGATAAAGTGTAAATCCCGGCGATAAGAACTACAGCCCGACTGTATTCTTTTTTATAGCTTCGTATAGCCCGGCTATATGATTTGCTGCGCTTTCTACAGCCAGCTATACCTATGATTTTCAATAGCCTTCTTTAGTCGGCTATAAGAACTCCTATGGTATTTTGAAACGCAGCTCCTATCACCGATTTTTACCAGGGACACAATTACAGATCTAGGTATAGCATTTCCTCGCGGGATCAATCGAGTTTTATAAACAAATAAGAAACACTTTGAACAGAAACAATTTAGAAAAAAAAAAAAACAAAAGAAGTTTCACCTTGTTTCTCCAAGCAGCATAAAGATCCGTCTTCGTCGCAATTATTCCAGTTGTCCTTTTACTGTTAAGTGGCTAAATTCAAGGATAAAACAACGAAAAAAAAAATACCATTAAAGGTGAAAGACAGACATGAAGAGAATCATTACCAAAGCCAAATAAAACCAAATAAAAGCTGAGAGCGTTAGTTTGAGAACAAATTGTGAGATAGTCATGCTATGACAACTGTCCCTGAATAAATCAACCGCTCGACAGAGACTCGGCGAAGTTAATCGGCCGTAAAAGTGAGGAAGAGTTACGTTTCACGAGAACCCGGGGGTGGTACCAGGTAGCTGTCCAAAGGGTAACGTTGCATGGTGGAAACAAGCATGGTGTCAACAAACCAAAAACCAGATCATGGAGTGAACGATTGTTGACGTCGTACTCAGGCAGTTAAACGCAAAAATGGGCCCTGAGCATGGTGTCAACGATCACGGTGTCAACAAACGGAAAAATATCTTCCTTATGAAAAAAATGACCTTTTGTTTTCTGTTTGTTTTTGTTTTTATGCAAAAGTTTAACAAAGTTCGAAAGTGAAAAAGTTGCTGTCTTTTAGTCTTCACGTCACTTTTTGTTACTTTTATCTTCTGTTTTGAAATGATTTAGGCAAATTTTTGGAAAATTTTGAGAGAAGCTGTTGTTTGACTGTAAATTTCGAAATTAATTTGGGTCAAAAGTAAGTAAATCATGATTTAAGAAATTTACTTCGTCCACAACCCCTCACACCGAAGTACTGTGCGACAACGCGATTAAATTCAGATTATCTAACTTTCAGAGAGGTATACCTATCTCTTGAAAATATTTTTTATAGAGACGCGCCTCTCCTTCGTACTTAAGGTGTTGGTACTTCTTAAACAGTTTCCTCACATAAACTCTGTCGAATCGGCAGAAAAGACTTGTCAATAAGCAGGATGATTACAGTTGCAAAATAAAGATGAGGTGGAAAAGCAGGGATTTTAAAATTGAAGCGGCCGTCTCCCACAGATTCCACCAGGCGGAAAAGCGGCGACGCAAAGTGACAACGTGCTAAAGTTTTCGAAACATTTTATGCTCTACCCGGTTGAGCACAATTGAATTATAGGAAAATTAATTTCAACATTTTGCCAAGGGTTTTGCATTAAAATGAATTATGTAGGCCCGAGCAAATATTTTCAAAGCGGTTTTTCCCTCCTTTCTTTCATCCCTCCTCTCTTCTCGGTATGACAGAAGAACCCTCAAGCAGGCTCTGACTGGCTCTGGCTGCCAAAATTAATCTTCGATTAAGGGTTGGTGATCCCTCTTAGAAACTGCCACTTACGAATCCCGCAATGATAATTTAAGTCTTGAGTACATTTTTTTAAATTAAAAAAGCCTTAAAAAGATCCACGGCTGATTTAATGAAATCATGCATAGGAGGTATCTCCATTATGACCTGAGCCCTTAGACCCGTAGGCATTTTATATGTGTGACAGAGCCCACTACACAATGGTGATGGTTCGCCTTCGGATTTGAATAAGTTCATCTTTTCACTGCTTTGAAACTAATGAAAAAAGATAGGTAATCACGAAAAAGTCGATGGCGGCCCAGTAATCTCACTGACTCTCCTAAATGCGTATCGTTGGGTTGATTGAATATTGAAATTAATTGATGGAACCTATCGCTGGGCGTGAAATGTTACCTGGTTTCCGGGGGATGACGATCCTTTCCGGACAGGAAACGCTGCGTCTGACGAGAGCCAGAGATTGTCGCTCTGGAGTGATCCTCCGTTGAATCCTCACCGTGATTTTTTGCAGCTCTTTCTCGTCGTAGTCCCGTTTCTTCCCCGGGTGACAGTACAACGCGCCCTCACTTCCCAGAGGCGAGGCACTCCTTTTGCTCATTGTATATTTCGTCACGAGAACTAGAACAATTAAACATCATGTTTAGACTCCAAAACAGTAAAGATAGCTTGGCTCATCATATTTTTTCATTTTTTTATTGTAGTCTTATAATTGAACAAATTTACATAGACATTTACAGACTACCCTAGCCTGTACAATTCGGGTTTTATCATGATATTATCAAATATGAATATAGGTCCCGCCGAGAATTTAGAGTGCTGAAATTTTTCAATACCGTGCCGAGTAATGGGACGTATTTCTACCCAACGGAACTATCTGCATTATGACGTGAGCCCTGTATCCTGATGGGTCTCAAGGCTCATGTATTAATGCACATAGTTCCGTTTGATAGAAATACGTCCATATATGAAAATTAGCGCAAACAGCACACCAAGTCAACACAATAAGACTCATCTCTCCGTAGATCGCGGTCGGACCATTATAAAACGCCTTCAATTGCGCGTGATACTGTGCAACACACCAAAGTCGAAATAGTTGTATTCTTAGGTTGGAACCTAACTCTGAGACAATTGGACTGAGTTAAGCAGAAAGGAACCAACCCACATTTTGGAAAAAATTGAGTTATGAGTGGTTTTAAACTCAACCTTTGCTCTACTATCTATCGCCAAAAATTCAAAGTTTTTGCTGGAGCAAATTTTGCAGAAATTGAACTTGAAGTTTATCTTTCACATTGAGTCTCATGCAGAAGCTAAACTTTAAACCTATTTTTCTCGGTTCGATCCCGATGTGGCTTGGTTCCTTTCTGTTTAACTCCGTCCAATTGCTCTACCAAATAAGGCACGTTAACCTGTTAACTGCTGTGTTTCAAGTTACCTTTCATATTTTATGACCATTATCGCCCGTGACGAATAAAATAATGTAAGCCTCAATTGACCTTCAAAGAAAGAATTATTGTGTAAATGTGGCCAACGAAAGAGGCTCGCTCTTGCAATAGGGTACACGTGTAGGTGGGATCAAACCGTGTAAAAACAAACAGTGTGCCTCTCAGAAATGTCTTTAACTCAGAAAAGAGCCATTCTATAGCCGAGATCAAAACCGCTACTCAAAAATTCTTCAAAACCCTCCATCAAGAAGACTTCGAAAAGACGATCCTTGTGAAGTGGGCAAAACCGCTGAAGCTTTGTGTTCAAAGTGGTGGACAATACTTCGAAAAGCAGCCGAATGTTGAGTCAGCTGTGTCATCCAATGAAGAAGCTCGGAATTCGTCAATTTCCGTAAGATTTTGCAAGTTTTTTCAATAAAAACACTCAATTCTCATTTAACTTTTTTTTCTTGACAAACATATTTGTTGCTAAAAATCCTGGAGGCGGTCACGCTACATGCTATTTTTAAAACCCTGTATCTCTGTCATTTTTTAAGCTAGAGAATTTTTCTTGGTCTTGTTTTATTGGCAATTACGTCTACTTTAAGCACACACAAACCGCAAATCGATGGGTGTTTTTGTTCGCTCAAAATCCGGAAATGTGCAAAACTTTTCGAGCACCATTAACCCTAGTCTGCCAAACAAGTTTTTTTCCACTAGTTTGCCAATACCGGGTCAGTTTAGACCCGTAATTAAAATACACAGGATCTTCTTTTTTAATAGTTTTTTTAATGCATGCACGTATTTTAAATGATGTTTTAATTCAGGGAAACCTAAAATTAGACTTATAGGCCTAATATTATCTTTTTCGTCCAAAGTTTAGATTAGCCAACATTCAACATATTCATGAAAAACGCAAATGGCCACGTCGCGTCTGTCGTCTGGCCGTATAGCACCTGACCATTTGAGCCCCCCCCCCTATCAACCCCTATTTTAGTTTTGTTGGATCT